TTCCTTTGAGAACGACCCGAGTCGGGTAGCTCGGTTACCACATGCCCACAAATACTACAAACACCCACTGGCCCATGTGGCTCCGTCATTGAGCGTCACACTGGTCTCAAAACTCTCTAAATTAGTATATGTCTAATGAGCACAAATAGTTAGTACCTTTACGTATTAAACTCTCTTATGAGAGTTGTGCGGTGGGGTGGGATTATGGTACTGAGTTGTCTACAAGTAATCAAACAGGTAATAAAACGAGTAACCCTCCAATGGAAAAGTCTTCCATATGTGGGTGTCCTCAAGCAAACTCTACCAGCAAGTTTCAATATCCCGAGGTCTTCTACGACAGTCGTCATGAGCAAGGATGAAGTACAAGACTGTCAACATCTTGGCGACTCACTAGCACATCGCGGCCAGAGGCACGGAATGACCCAGTATTGAAGTTTTCACGCAACTTCTGCATATTGATCGTCTTAAAGTCCTCACGCAATATCAATACTATTATTACTCTGCGATATATTTCGACGCGAAAACAGTTAGAATGAACAACATTTTTCGAGGCAATCATGTCTTCGAAATGCTGTTTCTGTTTTTTTTTTTTTTTTTTTTTTTTTTTTTTTGGAACGATAGAATTCGACAGTTATTTATGTGATCCAATATTACTTTATTTTTGTACTTTATAATAGCTATGTGATGAACATGCATCACAACAACTTTTGTGTAATTTGTTTGTTGAATACTTTTGTGTAATTAACTCATCCTATTTGTTGAATACTTATCGCGCAATTTGTTTCACACTTGCTGAATGAAATTTGCTTGTCTATCACAAGATTAATAGCATAAGTAATTCGCACTTTCTCAATTAACTTCGCTTCTCTGTTGCATGCTTTAACACGTAATATGTTTTTCACTTTACTCAATGAACTTCTCTTGTATGCCGCATATATTTATCATATCATATAAATATTTTCCAGTTTATAAATTTTCTTTGTTTGTCCATCGCATAATTTTCACACTTTATCAATTATGTTAGCTTGTTTGTCGCATATGTTATCGCATATTTTGCACTTTATCAATTATCTCTGTCTGTCTGTCGCATAGCTTTTTGCATAAATTATTTTTGTCATATTGTTGCATTCTTTATTGCATAATTGTTCACATAAATTATATTCGTATGTTTGTTGTATAATTTATTGCATAATTATTTTGTACATTATAAATTATATTCGCCTGTCTGTCGCATAATTGTTTCGCACTTTATCAATTATGTTCTCATGTTTGTGGCATAAGTTATCGCATTACTATTTCGCACTTTATCAATTGTCTTCGTCTATATGTCGCATATTTATCGTATAATTGTTTTACATTTTATCAGTTATGTTCTCATGTTTGTTGCATAGGTTATAACATAACTATTTCATACTTTATCAATTATTTTCATCTTCTTGTTGCATAGCTTAATGCATCATGTCATATAGTATATCGAATAACTATTTCACACTCTATTAATTATTTCCGCCTCTCTGTCACATATTTTTTCATAAATATTTCGCACTTTATCAATTATCATTTCTTATCTCTCGCATCTCTTCGCATCACTATTTTGTACTTTATCAATTATCTTTATATGTCTATCGCATATCATTTCGTATAAATATTTCACACGTTATAAATTATTGTCGTTTATCTGCCACATAACTTTGCGTATAATGTTTTCGCACTCTATCAATGATCTTCACCTTCCTGTCGCATAAATATTTCGCGTTCTATCAATTATATTCGTCTATCTGTCGCCTAGCTTTTGGCATAAATATTTCGCACTTTATCAATTATCTTCGTATGTCTATCGCATAGCTTTTCGACAATGTTTTTGCACTTTATCAATTATCAGTTATGTCCGT